AATAGCCCAATTAGAAGCGGGAGCGAGAAAAATCCCAGCCAATAGGAAGATGCCCAGGAATGGGGCGGGGGATAGGCCTTCGCCTCGGCGGCAGAGGAGATACGGGGGCCATTTTGTGAAGAGACCAGGGCTGAGCGGTTGCGGCCGCGTTGCCGACCTCGAGCAGCAGTCGGCTTCTCCACGTAGAACTTGGGAGTAGGAGATTCAGAATCGAATCTCTTCTCCCTTCCCCCTCCAGGTAAGTGGAGGAGGCGGAAGCAGGGGAGGCGCTGGGTTCCTCCGGGAGCGCGAGGGGATGTGGGAGAGAAGACGAGGGAACCCTCCCCTCGGTAGAATAACCAGGCCCCCCATTTATTCTGTTTTGCACTGGGGTATTAGGATTTATGGGGGAGAGGGTTTTATAGGCCTCAGCCCTTGCGTAGATTTAACCTAGTGTCTTCCAAGCCATGATCGGCAGGGAAAACGTCTTTTTCGTTCTTTCTGTGTTAACGGCTGCTTTCCTTTCGTTTTCTACGACCATGAGGACTCGGAGAGATAATGAAAGGGAAGATCGAGATGCTGATTAATGTAGTTGAAGTTAACATAGTGCTAATGCCTACTGTGAAATTTTAAAATTGGGCGGGGGATGGGGAAGGGTTACCAAGTAGACATTGTACCGCAGGACATAAAAATAATAAATATTGCAACAGTAGATTTAGTATTTTACTGATTACTTTTTATTATTTTTCTGAGAAAATGATGGACCCGGAATGGAAGTATTTTCAGTTTTTTAAAATTGTAATCCACTTACATATTAACAGTAATTAAATCTGGCTTGCTTTTCATCTGCAGGTTACAAATCATTTGAAATATATAAGTTAGTGGAACTTTGCTTGAGGTAGGTATTACTATTTTTCTCAGAAAGAAACTGAGACATGATAGCGTTGGTTGTCAGAGTCTTACTAGCTATTGGCATACTAGGCACTAAAAGCACTAAATTTGAATCTTTAAAGGAACTTAATTAAAGCAACCCTAGCAGTAACTGGAAATTCCCAACTGCACTTGGGAAAAAAAATTAATTACGAGAATTGCATTTGTTTTTGCTATAACGTCCAAAGGTGATAAAGTTTAATTGTCAAGATATTCTGGAATTAATTCTCCAGACAATCTTAACTGGCAAAAATGTATAACCTCGTACTTTTTATTAAGCAAGTATTATGTGCCTACTATTTGCGAGGTCCTGAACCATTAAAAGTTTTTGCCAAATTTATAAAAATTACATAGATTTTTCGGTGGTATCAAATTCCTTTATCCAAGAAATCGCTTTTTTATTCTCATGTAAGATTTAATTGCTTTTAATTTCCATAATGTTTTTCTCACAAAAATAATGTTATTTACCAATACTGCAGGGGAAATTCATCCTTTATGAAACCTATTTGATAGGAAATACTCTTTTTCTAGATTGCTAAGCATTTGTCGATTCTTCACCATGTAGATAATGATAGGAATTGAAAATATCGCCTTTTTTATAAAATCCTAAACATGTCTATTTATCACATGGGCTTAAAACTAAAGTCGTTGTGAAGAATTGTTAGAAATGAGATAAGGGCACTGATTGATGAATTTAGGAAATCCTTTACCTAGTTAGAAATGTTGTTGGCAAAGAGAAATCCAAGATTTATATTTAAAAACAATTATTAGCAAATTGAAATTAATCGAAGGGCACTTTTCTTGCTTTGAGTGTTAGAAATATGGCTTCCTTGGGATCAGCATATACCAAGGTAAACAATTCTTTGAGTTAATATTCATCTGGAATGATTTGGCACCGGAATTAATATCTGAAACAGTTCTGGATGTGTCTTCAAATAGGTAGTCATTAGGAACATTTGCGTGTTGGCTAGAGAGGAAGGATTTAAGAAGGATGATTTAGTTGCAGGTCTTCTCATCTTGTTTCCTATGCTCATCTCACGGGAATGCTTGGTGGTTGCTATTTCCTTCTGAAGAGAATTTAAACAGCTTATATTTGTATTAGGTCTCTAGAGGGTTCACGTAGTATGTGACCTTGTTTTGGATGAAATTTCTGTTAGAAACATGGAATAAACTCCAAAATAGCTATTCTAATCTCAAAGATTAACTATTTTAAATGGTGAATGTGTGAAATGTTAACGGGAGTCTAACAGTTAAAGGAATCTAGGCCTAGAAGTTAGAGAACTGGATTTTGTTCTCTCCATGCTGATTATTAGCTGTGTCAGGCAAGTCAAACATTTGATTTCTGTAACTCATTTGTTGCCAGAAGACTGGAAAGGGTACAGAAAGTTTTACTATCAAAAGCAGTTTCTGTATATTATCAATTAATGTTAACTGCCTTTAATAATATCATTTCATCTTCAAGTAATTTTAGTACTTGTCTTTGGGACACTTTTCCCTGTACTTACTATGTATACTCATTCATCCTCATTGGAGTCAGAGAAGATTATGTTTTGTACATAATTAGATTTATTGGCGAATTGGTGAGAACCAAAACTATTTGATATAGCGTAATTGCATGTGTTCTTGTAGATACTAGAAAGATGGAAAGGATTACTATAGGGTTCTTTCAATAATTTTCTTGAATTTACTTAGTATACTGTCAAGATGAGGCACTTTGTTTATAAAGATCTTAACTAGGGGACTGCGATTCATCATTAAACTCAGCAGATAAGCTGACATCAGACTCAAGAGGGCTAGTTAAAACATTGCTGGGCTCTCCACCACCAGAGTTTTTAATTAAGTCAGTCTGGAGTGGGCCTTGATAATTTGCATTTCTCACAAGTACTGTGTGATCTGGTTGGCAGACCTCCCTTTGAGAATATCCCTTTAGAAGAAGAAATCCTAATCACCCAGAGGATTGACAAAGTAGTGGAATTTAGATATACTATTATTAAAAAGCGTTAGAATTACATGCTGAAGTAGTTTGGTCTATATTTTTATGAGTGATAACATCAATGTTTAACATCTTGGGAGACATCTTTAATTTGAGAGATGTAAATGCTTTCTATTAACTGCTTCTTTAAGCTATGTCTTGCGTGACATACAAAGGCTTTGTTAGGTGAGCCACAAAGTTAACATAACCTGAAAATTTTAAGTGCCATGTTGAGGCTATGACTGCAAGAAAGAAAACAATGTTTCGCCATTACTGTACACCCCAAACACTAACTCAAAGGAGGTAACATTCAAAAGAATACATTTTCTATAACTTTTTTTTATAATTTATACATTGTACAATTTAACACATCAAGTGTAAAAGCAACTTACATATCATGCCTAAACTTCTCTGCTACTTTTATAAAATTTTAGAGTTGTACCTGTTCTGTTTCTGTAGTTATTCATACATAATTGACTAATGAAACACTTAAAAAACTCAGCTTAAAATTTTTTAGTTTACTGACATTTGGAGATGAGAAAAAACCTCATAGCTAAATATTGAAATGCGAGTGCAACCAGTTTATATTTGCCCAAAGACCTACAGTCTAACTGCAGATCTTGTTTTAGCTGATAAGACAGGTAGTCTGTCATGTTTGTTTTTGGTGTTACGTATCAGATTCTTAGAATTCCTGTCTTGGAATTAACTACATATACTAGGTTATAAGTAGTGGGACCACAGAAACAAGTTCCTTAAGAACCGTTTATTTACTTTTCATCTGTTTTATGACATTAAATATTCAGTAGCCATAATCTTTTTTTCCCCTTTATCTGTTGTTTTTCATTCAGTCTGTGAGTGGAATAATGTGCTCCTTATTTAAAGCATCTTTACTCCTTATTGTAGAACTAATCAGGTCTTGTGGTTTGATCACTCCTTGGTTTTGAGAAATGATGCCATCTCTATTATGTATCTTCATGGTAGAACATTCTCCTTCAATCTGTATTGTAGGAAAAACTACATGGACTTAAAATTTCAAAATCCATGAATTCACTTCATAATCTTGATATTTGACATTTGCTCACTTTATCTCTGTTGGCCTGGTTTTTCTATATTTTCCTTGCCCAAACTGCTGGTTATCAAGATGAATGTTTGAATTTAGACCTTTTTTTGAGACCCTTAAGGGAATACATGCACGTATTTTGTTAATTTTAGTTACCTACTTAATATTGAATTGTGAAGACAGTCACTGGTCAAAGTGATTGTGTAGAGGCTCTGCCCATCCCCGTGGAATGTTATGCTTTACCAAAATGTGTTAGATGCAATGGACAGACTTTCTGTCTTGGGGGTTTATGGCACAACATTTCTGAGGAACTCTGACTCAATCTGTCCCTTCTCCTTTCACAGGGCAGCAAGGCGAACCCCATCCCTCCTCACTGGAGCTCAGCTTTGATTTTTAACCTCCCTTCCCCACCCCTCCAGAACACACACATTCCCATTCCAAAACTGATTTTATAAAGACATTTTAAACATAATGATGCAACTTGGTGTGCACTACGGCAGATTTACAGGTGTTTTTTTTTAATTGTTTCCAAAAACGGGACTTGGATTTAAGATGTAATTTTTAAAATTTCTATTTCTATTTTTTCTGCAGCAGTTGGGTTAGAGGAGGAGGAGCCTTTTAGCCTCTCATAAACTGACCTCTCTATTTCCTCGTGTATTTTTAAGATTGATTGATGATGTGGAAAGGGCTTTGCTTGTCTGCTACTAAGAACTTTACCCTTGCGGTTTTTGTGGAAACTGCTTTTGGAAAGAGAAAAGAAATGAACTTTACTGACTTGACATTTTTGCACCTCCCGTTTTTCTAATCTGGGCTATTTTTATTTTTGTTTTTTTACAGTGAGATTTTTTTGATCTTCAGCTACAGTAAGTTATTCCAATTTTT